AAGAATTAAAGAATACATGTTCTGAGAATTTTTTGTATAAATTAGTAGAATTAATCGATAGTTTATCTAAATATGAAAAATAAAATAAACTATAAATAACAATTTGATATTTATTTTTATATTAAAAAAAAAAATGAAATTGAAAAAGATTTTATTTTTGTTTCTTTTTTTAGTAATTTTATTTAATTTTATCGAAGCCAAAAAAAAACCAAGATGCTCTATTTGTAAAAAATCAGGTGTTAATATGGTTGGTTATAACAAGCTTACACATATTTCACTTAAAAAACATAAAAGAGATAATAAATTTACTATAAAAACTAAAAATAAATCTACTAAAAAAATCAAATGTAGTATTTGTAGAAAAAAAGGACATAACAAACGTACACATTATAAACATATCTAAAAATACTATAAATAAGTTGGATATTTATTTTTATTTTATTATTTATAATGGAAACAGGTGGTGAAAATTTAAGAGAAAAATACATCGGTATATTAAAAGAAAATTCTGAATATTTACAGAAAAATATTAATTTGTTGAATGTTAATAATGCATTAAAGAGTGATAAAGATGATTTAATAAAAGAAAATAAAGAATTAAAGGAACAAATTGAAACAGAAATGGATAAATTAAACAAAGAAATAGAAAAACTTAAAAAGACAAACGATGCTTTTAAAGTATTGTTACAAGAAATGCAGGATGAAAATAGTTACTATAAGAATTGTGATTTTATTGATAAGACATTTGATAATCATTTTGTTAAATCAATATTCATTATACCATATATGTATTTTTTTTCTTTTAGAAAAATTAGATTATTCGAAAGTTTATTGATCAATATATTTACGTTTTTATTTTTTTATTTTCTTATAAATATATTTTTTAACAAAGAAATTTTTATTTTTATAAAATAAAAATGATTAATTAAAATATTATAAATTATGAACATTTGTTTTTTTTTATCACAAAAAGAAATGAATTCAGTAGATTCTCTACAAAATGTTTCTGTTCAGCAAAAAATTGAGTTAGCAGCTGAGACTGCTCGAGTCAAACAAATCATACAAGACCAAGAAAGAGAAATAGAAATTTGGAAAACTAATTACAATCAATTATTAGATGAAATAAAAAATAAACAAAATATTATGTTAAAAGAATCTCTTGATGATATTTTGAATAACAATTTAAAATATTTTTTGAAAACTGAAGTAATAGAAAAAAAAAATTATAAAGGGTTTAACGAATTCAAATCTCAAAAAACATTTTCGTATATTAAAAATGAATATATAAAAATTGTAGTTGTTTATTTTTCTTTTTGTTTTTATTTTATTTTTATCAGATATTATCAACGTATCTTTGATATTTTATTTATTTTATTTTTATTTTTTATACTAAACCAAAATGGGATAAGTATAGTATGTTTTCGTATGTAATAAAAAAAAATATTTAAACAAGTAATAAATGTTAAAAAAAAATAAAAAAAAATGATGGAATATCTTTTGATGAACTGTCCTGATCCTGAAAGACATCCAACAAGAGGATTATTTTTTATACTTTTAATTTTATATATATTATTTTTACGTATTTGGTTTATGTATCAATGGATTTGTTATTTTTCTGATTTGTATAATGAATATATTATTGTGATAATAACTATTGTGAGTTTTTTTTTAATTATTATTATTTTTTTTTATTATTATTAATTTGATATCTTTTTTTTTAGACGTCTATTTCTTTTTTACAATCTGTTTTGAAAGTAAGTAATTAAATATTAATTTATTATTATTATTTTATTAATTTATTTTTATTTTTTTCTAGTTTATTATTACGACAATATATATATATATAGTACTTAGATTAATAGCTTTTTGGCTTGGTAGATTGGATTATATTCAAATGATATATCATGTTATATTTCAAGTTATTTGTAGAGATTTTTTAAAAATAAAATATTTTGAATTGTTTTAAATGGAAGCGGAAAATTCAAATTCTTATGATAGTGGTTTATATGAAGAAATTTCTATACGTTTAGATGAACTCGAAAAACAAATAGCTACATTATCTGGTATTAATCATGAACAAATTATTGAAAATTCTAAAAAAATATTTAAACATATTAATCATGAACTTGGTCAGAAAGAAAAGACTATTAATTTTTTACGTAATGAAAATTATGATCTACAAGGATTAGTAAATTTTTATAAAAATTGTTTGTACAAAGAATTGATAGAAACAATAAGTTCTTTTTTTGATAAGTTACTTGATGATTCATTTGATTATCTTTTAAATATTAGTGTTATACAAGATATATTAGGTAAAATTAAAAATATTATTCCCCAACCATTATTTAATATGTTATTTGAATTTGTTATCGATTATATTCACCCCAAAAAATGGGTTTTTGTGAAAAGATTTTTTAGAGAAGTATTTTTACCTATAAGTTTTTCTCCGATATTTATTTTTAGATTACCAATTATCAGAACATTTGGTGATCTTTTTGTAGTATTTAGTATGATATTTGTTTTTTTAATATATTATGTTAATGTAACTTTTGGTCATCAATATTTAGTTTTAATCGTAAAAGAATATTAGTTTTTTTATTTAATAAAAAAATATATTTTATAGTTTTACAAAAAAAATTATAAAAATAGTATCTAAAATTTTTTTTTGTTCTTCGTTATTACTCTTTCTTTCTTCGGTTTATTTATAACAAACTTCTCTTTTGGTGAATATGATACATATATTCACCAACTCATTATCAAGATTTATTAGTACAAAATTAATTTTATTTGGAGTTTAAAAAAAACTCCAATTTTATTTCTTAGATGAAATTAAAATTCATCTAGAAAGCTTATATGGTATTTTAACAATAATTCACTTTATCAAAAAACAAATACCCGAAATTTACTTGAAACTTGTCTTCTATTACAAAAAAGATTATAGAAGACAAAAGCACCCATTAGTATATTTGCGATCTTGAGAATACACAAAAGATCAAATCGAGAAATTAGCACTATTATGTTAAAGACCTTTTTCTCGACATTAAGGTTGTTATCTTAGTGGAATTGGAGTTCTTGGAGTTGATAAGGACTTTTCTTATTAGAAACAGTAGATTAGATTTTTTTATTTATTGAAATTTGACAAATACATTGTCAAGATTTATTTTTTTTTGTTTCTCTACGTGGTCTAAATATTTGTTATGAATAGTTAGTCCATATAGACAAACAAAATTTTTCATTTTTTAAAATTTTATTTTGAAAATATGTAATTAAATTTTATATCAATAAAATTAAATATATTTTATTAAAAATAAAAATCAAATGATTTAAACATGTTTCTAATAGATTCATCTTCTATTTCATCAACATCAATATTTCCGTTTACTAATACTTTAACTATTAAATTTAAAAAATCTCTTTTTTCATTTTCATTTTTATAATATCCCATCATTTCAGATAATGTACTCTGAATAGTATCGATATTTTTTTGAGTTATACTGAGTTTATCGAATAATGATTCTTTATATTCACCAATTATTAATTCTATATTTCGAATTTCATCGAGTTGTTCTTCTTGCATCCAAAGTGGATTAAATGGACTATATCCTTTTTTTCTATATACTAAAGGATATGTTTTTAATGGTTTATACATTTTATCTTTTTTAAGTCTATATGTTGAAATATGTGTTTTTTTTCTTGGTTGTTCTTCATATAGATAGTTAATTAATTCTTTTGTTAGTGTTTCAGTTTCTTCAATTCTTCTTTTTGTATATTTATTTTCTAAAAGAAATTTTTCATCTTTTCCAAGAACCCACATGTAATATAATACATCCAATAAAGATTTTTTGTTTTTACTATTATCGTAACTCTTTTTGATTATATCAGATACTGGTTTAATTTTTAATCTTGGAAATTTCTTTAGACTATCATTATCTAACGTCTTTCTATATTGACTGATGATATTTAATATTTGTGATTCAGGAGTACCATTAATATTTCTTTCTTTTTCTGCTTTATTAGGTTTTCTTAATATAGGATCTTCAGGTGTTCTTGGTCTTTTTGGTATTTTAGATTTAGGTTGAACTGGGTTTTGTAATGAATTGATTCTATCAATTCTGATTTGATTTAATTTTTCTTTGGTTTTGTCTTCTGAGAGAAAATTTTCATCTAAAGATTCTACTATTACCTTTTCCCAATTTTGTAATTTTACTAAATCAGTTTCGATTTCAATTGTTGATTTAATTATATTGTATAATTCATTGTTATAATAATTTTTTCTAATATTATCTAATGTGAAATAATTTCTTCCTTCTGTTAATAATGTTTGATTTAACTTTTT